GAGTCAGTTCTTTGCATCAGGTGGCCAAAGTATTGGAGTTTCAGTTTCAGCATCAGTCCTTCCATTGAATATTCAGGACTGATCTCCTTTAGGATGGACTGGTTGGATCTCCCTGCAGTCCAAGGGACTCTCAAGAGTCTTCTCCAACACCATAGTTCAAAAGCATCAATTCTTCAGCACTCAGCTTTCTTTATGAAGAGTGCTTCAAGTAGTTAACATCTTCCATTTGATGGAGATTTTAGTTCTGCAGAAGAGCTCAAAGATATTGTTCTGTGTATCTGGCCTGAAGAATTCCATGGACTGTATAGCCCATGGGGTCACAAAGAATTGGACAGGACTGAGTGACTTTCACTTCACTTTGGGAATGCAGGGAAGGGAATACAAAAAGGCTTTTGTGCCAGGAACCCCACAGGGTCCTGCTTGGTTTCAGTTCGTCACTCTCTGTCTTACCACCCTTACCCACATCCATTTTCTTCATAGAATACCAGAAGGAATGGATGAAATAAATCTTACTCTACTCAAAAAATTGGACTAGTTCATCACCTGGAGATTAAAACAAAGCATTCTATCCACTTTGTAGCCCTGCTTTGAGCCACTTCACCAGCTTCATCCTTTAACCCTTCCTCCCTAAATCTTGACTACTTCAATAGCCAACCATTTCAGCATCATACACTGATGTAGATATCCTTACTTTGCATGTATAAGAGAAGCCAAAATATTTGTTATTGGCAAAAACTCATATAATCAAACACTAGTCCCTCTGGAAATGAATGCCAAGTCTTTATTTACTTTATTAACAGAAAATAAGCTTAAGCATATCAGGCAGATAATGCCAATAATAATATTCATTCATAATTACAAGCAGCTAAAGGTAACAGTAAACTGTCATTACATTATGAACCTTTTTTTTTAATCCTAAAATAGCCAGCAGCTTGGTAGCAGCCCAAAGAACTTGAGTTATTCGTTGTTATCAGTGGTGGAAGACTAAGCAAACTAACCAAATTTCATTCATTCTAGGCAGCACATTTTACCACATTAGTGTCACTGAAATCTGGGTGAACTTTACTATTTCTGGTGGCCAGGTCACATGTGGTTTAGAAGAAAATCCAAGCAACTGTAGGAGAACCCTGTTAAGAAGTGCTATACTGTCAAGACTCTTGATGTCACAGAAGATGACACTGCATGGAAAAAGACACCAGTTATGGGATCTGACTATAAAGAAAGCTGAGTCCTGAAGAATTGATGCTTTTGAACTGTGGTGTTGGAGAAGACCCTTGAGAGTCCCTTGGGCACAAGGAGATCAAACCAGTTTATCCTAAAGGAAATCAGTTCTAAATATTCATTGGAAGGACTGATGCTGAAGCTGAAACTCCAATACTTTGGCCTCCTGATGCAAAGAACTGACTCATTGGAAAAGACCCTGATGCTGGGAAAAATTGAAGGCAGGAGGAGAAGGGGAGGACAGAGGATGAGATGGTTGGATGGCATCACCGACTCGATGGACATGACTTTGAGTAAACTCCGGGAGTTAGTGATAGACAGGGAGGCCTGGCATGCTGCAGTCCATGGGGTCGCAAAGAATCAGACACGACTGAGTGACTGAACTGAACTGAACTGCTGGGATCTGATGCCTGGTGATCTGATGAGGAGCAGATGTAATAATAATAGAAGTAAAGTACACAATAAATGTAATGCGACTGAGTCATCCAGAAATCATCCCCTCCCCCCCACCCCTGTACGTGAAAAAAAATTATCTTCCATGAAACTGGTCTCTGGTGCCAAAAAGGCTGAGAACCACTGCTCTGAAAGGAAAAGTGGTATTAGAGACTCAGAGTCTAAATATGAGGAAATTTGAAGAACACTGCACCTATTTTTTCACTTATACTTGACTTTTTTATGCATATTCAAAGGGAACATAAGAGAAAAATACATATATAAACCTAAAGAACAATTTCTTAATAAAACCTCTAAGTAATAAATGTCATCATTTAATCAGCAGCATTCCTCACTCTAACCCACATCCTGGGAGTATACACAGTGATGTTATATGACCTGCAAGTGAAGGTCTATTTCATTTGGTGAAATACTGTAGTGCACATCGGTGAGTAAATTAGATTATGTTTTACAGTCAGTATTGCAAAAAATGGAAACAATTCTTTTGAAACAGAAAAGCGTATAAGATTGAACAGAATGATGGCCAAATTCACTCATTCACACAACAGTTATTTATTTAGGATTTTTTCTGTGCCAGGCATAATTTCAGGAGCAAGGGTAACAGTAGTAAATAAAACAGGCAAAATCTTTGCCCTCAGAAAGTTTGATTTCCTGTGTAAGATAGACGATATACAAAACAACCAAATTATAGTGCTTTTCTGTTTTGGGCACGCTCAGTCACTCAGTCATGTCTAAGTCTTTGCAACCCCATGGACTGTAGCCCACCATGCTCCTCTGTCTGTGGGATTCTCCAGGCAAGGATACTGGAGTGGGTTGTCATTTCCTTCTCCAGGGGCTGACCCAGATATCAAACCAGTGTCTCCTGTATCTCCTGTATTGCAGGTGGATTCTTTACAACTGAGCCGCCAGGAATGTTTTAAGTACTAAAGAGAAAGATTGACTAGGGAGAAAGAACAGAAATTGGAGAGAGAAGAGGTGTGATTGGGAGAGACCTGCAGGAGCTGAGAAAACCAGCCATGCTTGATTTGTGAGGGAAGGTCGTTCTAGGAAGGAAAAAACAGCCAAGTACACAAGCTGAGGTCTCAAGAAGGATAAGAGAAAGGGAGAGAAGATGGACATGAGGTTGGACAAGTAAGGAGAAAGGGGATCAGCAGATTTTATAGATCAGTGCTTTTCCATACAAAAGTACAGTGAGCCTCATATGTAATTTTAAATTTTCTAATCTCACGTGTAAAAAAGAGTAAGAACAGGTGAAATTAACCTATTTTATTTAACCCAATATATTAAAAATATTATCATGTTGACTTGTACATATGTAAAGGGCTAATGAGATGTTTTATATTAATTTTTAATACTTTAGAAATATTTTTATTAGGTTTATCTTCTTATTTTTTGCAATAGATCCTTGTTAATTGTCTATTTTAAATATAGCAGTCCATACATGTCAATCTCAAACTCCCAATCTACCCCTCCCCTCCACCCTTTCCCCCATAAAAATAGTTGTAGATTTTACAGCGGCTTTAGGTTCACAGAAAAATTGAGGAGAAGGTACAGAGATGACTTTTTTTGGTACTAAGTCTTTGAAATCCAGTATGCAATTTACACTTACAGTACATCTCAATTTCCCTCACATCATTTCAAGTGCTCAGTAGCCACATGTGAAGGTGTCTAGTATATTGAACAGCACAGATCTAGACCCTCATAGAGTGCTATAATGACTTTGCTTTTGATGTGAATGAACTGGGAAGCAATAGAAAAGTTTGAGTGCAATGATGACATAATATGATTTGAGTTTTCAATGGAGCCCAAAATAGGACTTGGGTTTTTATAGAATCTGCTGTTTGGAGAATAGAAAAAGAAGACAGTGCCTTCTCATGTGCCTCGGGTAGACTTTGGACTAGCTCACATCAAAGAACAAAATTGAGTATAGAGGAACATAAATCCAATAACCGGATCCAGTTTGGGGAATTAGTGTAACTGAAGTTCTCTCAGTGCCCCGTCTTTGCACAGGCTGTGAATCAAATCCCTTTTCATGCTTCAAGACCCAGGTAGACCATTATCTCCTCTGACACATCTTCTATACCTTTCTATATCCAGAAAATAACTTGTCCTCCACAATATTCTATCATAGTCCTAGATTTACATGCTTCTTCCCTCTCATGGACTATGAGATCCTCAAGGCAAGGTACATAACTCATTTCTCTTTGATCCAAATGCCTATCTGAGTTCCTGGAAGTTAGTAAACCCTCAGTAAATATTTGTCAACTTGAAGCAAAAACTAACGAAAAATTAGCTGAACAGCCCCCAAATGGAAGCAACTCAAGTGTCCACCAACAGAGATATGTTTTATACAGTTTAGTGCTATGTAGTGAAGAAGATAATCTACACAGAACATGGATGATGATTGCAAACATTACATTTAAAGACAGTGCTGTTGTTTAGTCACTAAGTCATGTCCGACTCTTGGGACCTCATGGACTGTAGCCCGCCAGGCTCCTCTGTCCACAGGATTTCCCAGGCAAGAATACTGGAGTGGATTGCCCCATACACATAATGCTCAATACAGGCAAAATAATAAAAGTTGACAGGATACTGATTACACTTGGAGTTGGTGACTGCAAGGGTTTTGAGGGGACTTCTAATAACATTCTATTCCTTTGATGTATCCAAGGGTTAGTTGGTATATCCATTTTTTAAAACTATGTTGATCTCTCTAGTTACATGAACACTTTCCTATATGTATATTATACTTCAATTTAAAAGCTTACATACCACATATACATAGTTCCCAAAAGATAATAAAACAAAAAAATGTAAATTGTTATAAGTGCAGCTTATCTTGCTCAGCTGTGTTATGATTCAATATGTAAGAATAAATTTATGGCTAATTGAGTAACATACAGTATATGTGCTTTTATAATTAACAACATCAACTAGTACAACATATGTTAAGTATTTTAAATCAATTCCCTCTTTCCTCCAAAAAGATTTTGTGTTGTAATTTGAAAAACATTTGAACATGTAATAATTTAGTGTTTTCATTTAATTCCCTTGTTTTTACTTTACAATTTTCCATAATGATGTATTTCATTCAAACATCTTAAAACATGTAATTTCACTTTATATGCTTATTCTGGTGAAGTTGTTAACCAGAGGCAATTTTGCCCCAAAGGTGATATTTGACTAGGCCTTTAAAATATTACATCCTTAAAAATATTTTATTGTTAACATCTTTAAAATGGCTTATTTTTTGAAAGTGTGTGCAACTTTTTTGAATTAGAAAACTTGAGAAATATGTTCTTTAAAACAATTTTATTCTTCTCCAGGTTAGAAGAACAAAAGAATATCCTGTCAGAATTTCAAAGAGATTTGAATGAATTTGTTTTATGGTTGGAAGAAGCAGATAACATTTCTAGTATTCCGCTTGAACCTGGAAATGAGCAGCAACTAAAAGAAAAGCTTGAGGAAGTCAAGGTAATTTTATTTTCAAAAATCTCCCAGGGCCTACTTGTATATGAACCTAGGGGGAATTCCCTGGTGGTCCAGTGGTTAGGACTTGGCCACTCACTGCCGTGGCCTGAGTTTAATCCCTGGTCGGGGAACTAAGATCCCACGAGCTACATGGTATGGCCAAAAAAGAAAAAAAAAAGTATAAGAATATATTTTTTAAATGTATCCAGTCATTGATTTCCTGCCCATTGGGATACTGATAGTTCTTCAGTGATTTTGCTCACAACTTTATTTTGTCTTAGCCCAGTGAGTTAAAGTATGTATCAGATATATATATATGTGTGCTTCTGTTTGTGTATGTGTGTGTATAAAATGCATAATTATACTTTTTAAACTGATTTGAAATTAATTTTAGACTTAATGGAGAATTCCACAGCTCCAAATTATTTTAAAAACGGGAGAATCTGTAGAAATGATCTCATTTCTTATGGAAGATCTTAATTGCCAAATCAGTCTCCCTACTTCAGCCTCTAATTAAAGGCATTCTATTTGCCTGAAGCAGTATTTTGGTTTGGTTTGGTTTGTCTGCAGGGGTAAGGGGAGGTGACGTTGGTTCACTTTCTATACTGGTTGAATAAAACTTCTAGTGTATTCAAGTGACTTTTTTATGCCTGCTTAATGTGATGGAGAAAGGAATGGCAACCCACTCCAGTACTCTTGCCTGGAGAATCCCCTGGACAGGGGAGTCTAGCCAGCTACAGTCCAAGGGGTCTCAAAGAGTCAGACACGACTGAGCAACTAACACACTGTGATGTCTGCTGCTTTCTGATTAGCTCTCCTGGCTGACTGAGATGCTTTGATTGTGCTGTTGGATTAACTTTCATGGTTTAAGTTTTAGGAAAGAAACTCCTTTGGATCTGTTTTACTTTAATTCTTGAAGGGAAAGGGAAATTAACATTCAATCATCCCCTGTTACATACTAAGTATTAGATGTATTTACATCTGCTATTTTAATCTTATCAAACTTCCAAAATGGTTATTATCCTCATTTTACAAGGTCACAGAATCAAAGAGAAATGGAACTGCTTCTTTATCAATGATTCAGTTGATCTGCACATGCAGATTAGACTCCATGTCAACTACTTATTTCTGTGAAATAAGAAATATGTACCTGACAGAGGATGAAGTATAAGAAGTAAAATATTGCTTAATTCAGTAAACAAATATTAAGCACCTAGTATATTCAGATAATGTATTAGGTATTTGAGAGTCAAAAAATAAAAAGTTTTTGATCCATAGTTCGAGGATGGTTATGCCATGGAAAAATAAACTCAGTCTGTTCTTAAAAATTCATCTTTCCTAAATATATTGAGTGTTATATATATAAAAAAGTGATAACTCATTTAAGAGACATGTTTGGTGGTGTTCACTTATTAATAAATATTCATTGATTTCCTTTTTTTTCTTAGTCTAGATCAACACCGTCCAATAGCACCATCCAATATCATTTAACAACATGATAAATGTGTTGAATATTAGCAACTTTAGTAGCCACTAGCTGCACTTGCCTTTTGAGGACTTGAAAGATAGCTGATGTAACTGAAGAATTAAGTTTTTAATTTTACTGACAGTTAATTTAAATTTAAACAGCCTCATGTGGCTAGTGGTACTATTAACAGTGCAGTAATAGAAGATACAAATAAATAAAATACAGTTAATAAAACTATGATAGCTTTGTAGATCATAAAAAGGGTACTTTTAATGTGATGTTAAATGAATAAGAAAAATTCAGGAATGTGCAGGTATCAAAATTAAGTGTTCTTGAATGAAAACACCCAAGTTTGGATCACCAGTCTGTTGCTTGCTACTTCTGTGTCCTTGAATCTGATATTTAACCACTCTGTCTCAGTTTCCTTCTATGTAAGATGAAGATAGTAAGATCTACCTCATGACATTATTATAAAAGGTAACTAAGATGATGTATATGAAGAGGTTAGTTAGCACAATGCCTGTTACCAGGTATGTTCTTAGTTATCTTTTAATATGATAATGCAATTTCTTACTATGCTAAGTTATAATATGGAGACCTAATACCTGAGAGGATGCTTATATTTGCCCAGATTATTCTATTTATGAGAGGTGTGTTTTTAGACTTTTGACACTGTTTAGGGTATTGTTTTAGAGCTCATCATACTACATAACATTTTTCTCTTGAGAAAAAAAAACCTCTGAGGGAGACAAGATATTCTGATCCTTTGTAGGATGGGCTGATTTACTTAAGTGTGGGTGTCTTAGTCCACCAGCTCTGCGCTCTGTAGAAAACCTGGTATTTAAGGAACCAATGGGCCTCCAGTCTTTCTTTGTTTTGATAGATTAATCAATAGAGGCAAAGACAAGGTAGTTGGCATTGTGCTGTAATTCATTTTAAATGTTGTTGCATTTGTCTGTTTCAGTTACTGGCCGAAGAGTTGCCCCTGCGTCAGGGAATTCTAAAACAATTAAATGAAACAGGAGGAACAGTGCTTGTAAGTGCTCCCATAAGCCCAGAAGAGCAAGATAAACTTGAAAATAAGCTCAAGCAGACAAATCTTCACTGGATAAAGGTTAGACATTAACCATCTGTCCTGTCACATGTGTTAAACGCTGCAAGCATTTCTTTTGTTTCATGGTGCTTAATTGGTGAGGATGGGGGAGAGGGCTGGTTTTATGGATTGTTATTTTGTTTTTATTTTAATTGACTATTTGATTTGGGTGTGTGATTTGTTGTGAATGAAAGGAATGTTGATGGCAAATGATGGTACAGTAATGACCAAATGCCAAGTTATATACCACTATTACTTTACATGAATTATTCTAAAGAATTAGAAAAAAGGATAAAGTGATTCATTCAGTGTTCAGGTGTAGATTGACAATATTTAAGCAAGATGGAGGTTGTCCAGCTCAATGAGTATCATAAATCAAAATTACTTATCCTTACCAATATGCATACAATGCAGGAGACCGAGGTTCAATTCCTGGGTCCGGAAGGTCCTCTGGAGAAGGAAATGGCAACCAGCTACAGTGTTCTTGTCTGGAGAATCCCATGGACAGTGCAGCTTAGTAGGCTACAATCCATGGGGTCGCAAGAGTAGGACACGACTTAGCAACTGAACCACCACCAATAGCATAGACTTAATCAAGGATCAATGCATGCTAAACTTCTCTAAAAGATGTTTTATTTATTTACTGTTTATTTGTTTACTTGTGAGTTTTCATCTTTCTAACTTGGATACTTATTAAATCTAATATTTTATTTTTTAAATATATTTTAAATTGTTTATCAAATTAATGCATATTTACTCTTTAAAACCAAGTGAAATGAAAGTGAAGTCGCTCAGTCATGTCCAACTCTTTGCGACCCCATGGACTGTAGCCTACCAGGCTTCTCCACCCATGGGATTCTCCAGGCAAGAATACTGGAGCAGGTTGCCATTTCCTTCTCTAGGGGCTCTTCCTGACCCAAGGATCGAACTTGGGTCTCCCGCATTGCAGGCAGATGCTTTACCCTCTGAGCCACCAAGGAACCCCTTAAAACCAAGTGGTGCATATGAATTAAAAAAAAAAACAACATTAGCTGGTCCATCAAAAGGCTATTTATCAAAAGTCTGTCCTGTCCATACTGTACTCCTCTGACAACCTTTTCATAAATCAAGTGAACATATATATGTGAAACTGTTCTGGATTCTCTTGATTATCAATGTCCTTCAACTAGTACTGCAGTGGCTTTGTAACAGTAATCATTCTTTTTTTTTTTTCAGTTCAGTAGTTTAATTTTTTAATGAAGAGTTTGTGTTTTTAGAGCATTTTTAGGTTCACAGCAAAACTGAGAGGAAGTTACAGTGATTGCCCAAAGACTCCTCCCCCCAAATTTACAGTTTCCCTTGTTATAAACATCTCCCACCAGAGAGGTTCAGTTCAGTTCAGTTCAGTCACTCAGTCATGTCTGACTTTTTGCGAGCCCATGGACTGCAGCATGCCAGGTTTTCCTGTCCATCACCAACTCGCGGAGCTTGCTCAAACTCATGTCCATTGAGTCGATGATGCCATCCAACTATCTCATCCTCTGTTGTCCCCTTATCCTCCTGCCTTCAATCTTTCCCAGCATCAGGGTCTTTTCCAGTGAGTCAGTTCTTCACATTAGGTGGCCAAAGTATTGGAGTTTTGGCTTCAGCAGTAGTCCTTCCGATGAATATTCAGGACTGATTTCCTTTAGGATGGACTGGTTTGATCTCCTTACTGTCCAAGGGACTCTCAAGAGTCTTCTCCAACACCACAGTTCAAAAGCATCAATTTAAAGTATAAGAGGGGTACATTTAACAGTCATCTTTCAACAGCTTGAGATACAATTTATATACCATATAATTCACCCATTTTAAAGTGTACAGTTTAATGGTTTTGGTATAATTACTTTTTAAGTTGTAGTACATATATATAACATAAGATTTGTCATTTTAATGATTTTAAGTATACAATTTATGGTCATTTATTATATCCACAATGTGAAACCATTACCATTATCTGTTTCTAAAACATGTGCAGTACCCCAAAGAGAAATTCTCTAACTGTTAAGCAATAGCTCCCCATCACCCTACCCCATCACCCGTCTCCCTAAAAGTAACCTCTAATCTACTTTCTGTCTGTATGTTTTTGCCTGTTCTAGAGATTTCATATAAGTGGACTCACACTGTATCTGCCCTTTGTGTTGAGATTATTTCACCTGGCATAAGATGTTAAAGTTTCACCCATGTTGTAGCAGGTATCATTGAACAATATTATATTGTAGATGTGTGTATGTATATATACACACACAATGTATATATGTGAATATAAACATTTGTTGTTGTTTAGTCATAAGTCATGTCTGACTCTTTTGCAACCCCATGGGCTATAGCCTACCAGGCTTCTTTATCCATGGGATTTTCCAGGCAAGAATACTGGAGTGGGTTGTCTGGGTTCTCCAGGGGATCATCCTGACCCAGGAATTGAACTCGCGTCTCTTGCATGGCAGAGGGATTCTTTAATGCTGTGATATATGGGAAGTCCCTCCATTCTGAAAGAATAGTCTGAGAAGGCAACAACAACAACATATGTGTGTGTATACACATACACGTATGTGTGTGTACATACACAGGCATATGTCTATGTATATATGCATGTATACATGCAATATATATGCGTGTATATATATATACCTATATATATAAGTATACATGCATGTATATGTGTGTATATATATACACACACACACATGTATATAACACACACACACACATACACACACACACACACACACAAACCCACATACTTGTTTTACAAAAAAAATTGGGATCTGCTAGCATAAAAATTCAAACCTTATTCTTCTTAGTCCAGATTGTTTTTTGCTATTTTCGGTTCACCAAATAAGTTTTAGAACCAACTTGCCAATTTTTATTAAAGCCTGCCAGAATATCAATTTGATTGTGTTGAGCTTATAGATCAGTTAACATTTTTACAATGTTGAGTCATCTAATCTATGAAAATGTTACATCCCTTCATTTGTTGAGGACTCCTTTAATGCATTTTTAGAAATACTTTGTAGTTTTCAATCCAGAGGACCGGCACATGTTTTATTAGATTTAATCCCAGATATTTGATGTTTTGGTCCTTTTATAAATGGGATTCATTTCAAGTTTTATTTTCTTTTTGTTGCTTATATATAAAAATAGTTTTTTTTACATTAAACACACATCCAGTGTCCTTGCCAGATTCACATACTAATATCAATGTTTTGTAAAACATTTTCAAATTTTTTAATGTGCACAATCATGTCATCAAATAGAGGTAGTGTCTCTCTTCCCAGTCCTTAGGATTTTAATTGTTTTTGCATAAACTTGGGCCTCTAAAACAATGTTTAAGAGACAGGGTGATAATGGGAGGCCTTGAGTCATTTCCTGTTTCAGGTGGACTGCTTTCAGTAATTAATCATTCAATATTATGTTCCTTATAGAACTTTTTATAGATCCTCTGAATCAGGTTAAAGAATTTTTTCCTTATTCTTTTTTCTCAAATTTTTATTACGAATAGGTAACCTATTCATAACTTTCTTTGCATTTATTAAAAAGATCCTATGATTTTTTTTTTCCTCTGAATGTGACAAACGATAGTCATTGTTTTGGGAATTTGAAATTACTCTGGAATTCCAGAAATAAATCCTATTGGTCATGATGTCTTCTACTTTTCTATAGATTGCTGGATTCAGTTTTCTAATATGCTGTTTATGATTTTTATATCTTTGTTCATGGCAGGAAATGGTCTGTAATTTATTTTTGAATCCTTCTTGAGTGTTGATAGCAATGTTAAACTAGACTTAATAATCAAGTTCAGAGGCTCTCTCTTTCTTTGTTCTGGAATGATACCAAGACTGGTGAAAATTGGTGAATATTGGTATCATTTCTTCCTGAGATGTTTGGAAGAATTCAGTTGTAAAGCCATCAGTGCATGGGGTGTTAGATTTGTGTTGTTGTTATTGTTGAGGTTTTTAGGTGAGAAAATTTTTGATAATGGATCCATTTCTTCAATAGATACAGGAATGGTTATATTTTTATTTCTTGGTGTGTCAACTTTTATAAGTTGTGTCTTTCAAGGAATTTGTCCACTCCCATGCTATTTTCCCTTTGGGGGCTGTAGACTTTTTAAATACTGCTAGGGTTCTTGTGTATATTTATATTTAAGAAGGAGAAAATAGACTACAAGTTCTAAGTAGCTGGATGGGTCTTGTTAACTGGGATATTTTACTCTATGTGCTAAGGTAGAGAGCTGAGTCTCTTGTTGAAAGAAACCTTCAAAGTCTATGATACAGTGGGCTTTATTCTGAGCTATTCATACCAATGCTAAAATTCTTTCCAGACAAGAAGTCCAATTTCTTTAGGTAAGAACCACACTCACTGTTTTGATTTGTTTCTTTTTGCCTGTAGGTCAGTGTTAAAAGAAGACCATTCATTGTGGGGTAGTTTTGATATTAACACAAATTTGCATCTACAAGCTTTCATACATGCTCTTTTTCTCAGACATCATGACATCTTTAATCCAAACACTATCCAGGCTTTGCCAAGTTCAGATCCCCTGTACCGAAGGCTTCTTCTCCCTTACTTTTTGTGTCCCCATATGTACTTTCTCCATCTATGCTTTTGACCTTCCAAGTATGTTTTGAAACCTCTCATCCACTTTTGACCACATTTCTACTACCTTATTGAGCATATTGAATACCTGTTAACTTTGTTCTATTCAAAATATAAAGCAAATTGTAATCCTTCAAACCGGGAGCAAATCCATACCAAGAAAATACCACAGAAGTATAATTTTCATATAATATGAAATGGATTCTTTCAAAAATGGTACAATTGCCTATAAAGAATTGCTTGTCATTCATCAATACTCGACCAAATTGAGAGCCATGAAAAAGTTACACTGAGAAACATTTCTTTACATAGATGATTTGAAAAGAAAGAAGTAGAGACTGAATTTTTAATTGTCAGGGTATTCATTATATTTTTTAATCGATGATGCTGAAGTTCTTGAAGCAGAT